CGATTAAATAAGTTTAATCGACAGATAAAATTTTTGTTGAATATAATGATTATCAACTGCATTTTATACGACAACTTTTTTTTGTTGAATATGTCGATTAAGACGTAATCGACAGAAATTCCTTTATATTCGACAGAAAATTCTGTCGAATATACTGCGTTTTCCAGTAGTGTAGCTAAAAGTACTATTAGGAGAATAGCTAGAGCTAAATTTAGTGGTACTTTGGTAGAGTTAGGAAATTAAGTGAGGGGGCAAACTTTTTTATTGATGATTTGAATGTTAAATATCTTTTTATGATATTAGTTATTTATTTTTAAAAAGAATTAATTTTAATTTTTTTATTGATATTTTCTTTGAATCTTAATAAAATTAAGAAATTAATATATTTTCTTCATCTTATAGTTTTAATAATAGTTTTTTTATTTAAAACTGATTAATACATACTTGATTAAACACATTTTATAATACTTGTCCTAATTTGATTATTAAAATATAATATAAGTATATTTAATTTTATTAATCTCTATATCCTCTATTTATGGTTACCATTTTAAATTTGTTTGTTTTTAATTGTAAACCAAATTTTTTTTTAATGAGTGTGTAACGTAATGTATTGAACTAAAATATGTACTAATCAATGTTTTTTATTAAATGAATCATTTTATTTTAAATAGATTAGTATACATTCAATTCAACACACTTTATAACGTAGTCTTGATTTAACTATTAAAATATCATATAAGTATAACTAATTTAATCAATTTTTATATCTTCTATGTATGACTATATTTTTAAATTTATCAATCTTTAATTTTAAACAAAAAATAATAATTTTTTAGTAAATGTATTATGCAATATGTTTAATTGAAATGCATAATAATCAATATTTTTTTATTAAATGAATTATTTTATTAGAATAGGAAATAACGTCTCACTATGATAATATTTAAACAATGGATCAATTACTTCAAACAATTTTAAAATCTTACTCTTTTTTAACCTAAAATGTTTGTCTTTTTTAATTGATTTATTTATCAAAAGTTATTCTTTCCATCCCAAAGAATTGAACAATATGAAAAAGAGAACATGTAATTCAATTTTTTTAAATTGAAATTATTTGCTGAATAAAGACTTAAATATTTTTATCAATTAAATTTTTTTGTTAATCAAATCATTTTCTAAAATAAATAAAAAATTAAAAAATAGAATTTAAAACAATTGGAAAACTTAAAGGAAGATAATCTTTAAATTTGTGTTTAATTAAGATCTTCTATTCTTAAATAATTTAATATGCAAGAAATTTATTTATCTAGATTAAAATATTATCATGTTTTGTAAAGCATTCAATTAAGTCTTAATTTTTTTTATCAAATTGAAAATGATAGTTATAATAAAAATATCATAAATTGTATTAGTTTTAAATTGTTAAATATAAAAAAATTATGAAGAATTAAATGATAATATCTTAAATTTTATTAAAATACATATAATATTTAAAGATTTTAAAGTGTAAAAAAGTATGCATATTAATTTTGAAAATTTTCAAAAGTTGAGGGGGTGGCCGCCCCCTCGCAGCCGCTCGCTCCACCCCTGGCTAAATCCGTATTTACTCTTCAGGAAATATATTTTCATTTTTGGTATCGATTTTTTTATTCCACTTTTTGTGATTTAAGAAAAATAAAAAAGAAAAAAGCAGATTGCCCCAGTTTTCACCAAAACTAGGTACGTGTCAGTAGCGAACGAAATCTTCGTGATCACCTAACAGCTTTATCTCCACCGTACACGTGCCGATCAACGGCTCTGATTTCCAATCTCTCTTCTATTTAAATCCTACCCTAAAAAATTGCAACACAGCAGCTTTTGAGAAAATCGAGAACTAAAAAAGTACGGAAGAAGAGGAAGGTATAGAGCTCGAGAAAAACCACCAGCACGTAGGGTTTTCGCTGAGCACGCTTCTTCGCCGGAGTTCAGTTTACTGGTCGCCATTTGATCTGATTGATCTGGTTTGATGATCGAAAATTTTTGAGGGAGGAGGCCGATCGAGATGATATCCTTGCAGAACGGGGCGGGGATTTCTCGGGCTCGGTATGGGGGCGGAGCAGCAGATCGGGCCGATGAGGCCGACGCCAGACCAGTTTTCGTTGGGAAGCAGGAGCCTTCTTCTTCGCTCAGTCTTGTCTCCTATCAAGGACATGATTCTCACGAAGGTTCGTGTTTTCGATCATTTTCATCAAAATCTGTTTCGAATTATATATATATATATTTTATGTTCGAGGTATGGACTTTACTGGATTTTTTAATTTACTAAATATCTATTTGTCTTTAGTTTCACATGTTTTATTTTCCAAAGGAAACTTAGAGGTTGAAATCTATGTATAAGTTTATTTTTACGGGTGCGCAAAATTTGTTATTTGTATTTTGTTTAGGTATTTCTCTTTTAAGAATTCAGAATTTGGAGTTTTGGGTTTCTTTTTAGGGTTCAGCAGTAATATTTATTCTTCACTCTTTTTTTTTTTTTTTTGGGAATCAAATTAGATCTATATTCTTAGGGCAGTTCTTATTGTTTGTTTAATTTTGGTAATGGTTTCTGGGATCTTTGAGGAATTGTTTTCCATTTGAACTGTCTAGGGCTTTCTTAAGATACAAGGCTATGAAACCATATTTTGTCGAAAATACTCTTTTTTTTTTTTTTTCTTCATTTATGTATTTTGGAACTTCTACTATTTAGACCTCGGGATTTACTATGCTTATTTCTGTAATTGCAATCTTGTTTGTGCAGTTGATGAGGACACCCATTTGACCCTTGCTCATCAATTATACAAAGCTGGCAACTATAAGCAGGCATTAGAGCATAGCAATGCTGTATATGAGAGGAATCCACTGCGCACTGATAATCTCCTTCTTTTAGGTGCTATTTATTATCAGGTTATCTTCATTGAAATATCTTCAATTTTCCCTTCTCTTGCTTTTTGGTTGCCCTTTTAGTGCTTGTCTTAGTGCATGAGTTGATTGGGCCAAAAGCAGTTTCCAGAATAGGTCTTCTGAATTTTTTTAGACGTTGTTTTAGCTTCTAAAAGGATAGAAGTTGACTTGGAGGCCCAAACCTGTTGTTGGAGTAGATCTTTTGCTGTAAAGCATCTAAATTTGATAATTTTTATCAATTTTTATAACTCTTATGATTATTTTATATGAATTCTGGATCCTATTACTCAAAACAACTCTATAAAAGCTATAGCTAGGCCAAACAGACTTTTAGGTGGATATCTAACTTGTTGGTATTTTCAAACTTCAATTTTTGAAACCTTCTGTTGTTTAGTTTTTAAAACATGGCCATATATGTGCAGTTGCATGATTATGATATGTGCATTGCAAGAAACGAGGAGGCCCTTCGTATTGAGCCACGTTTTGCTGAATGTTATGGGAACATGGCTAATGCATGGAAGGTACTTATTAAGAATAATTTGAAACTTTTCTATGATATTTCTTTTAGTTTTTCCATGACTACTGATGAATTTATGTTCTCCCTCATGACCAGGAAAAAGGTGATATTGATCTTGCTATCCGTTACTACATGATTGCCATTGAGGTTTGTGCAGAGTTGCAAAAACGTTTTTCCAATCTAATTAACTAGCATCTAGATATAGTTTGTTTGGTTAACTGATTTTCATGTTAACTTTGCTGCAGCTTCGTCCCAATTTTGCTGATGCATGGTCAAACTTAGCCAGTGCTTACATGCGAAAAGGAAGACTGAATGAGGCTGCACAATGCTGTCGTCAGGCTCTTGCTTTAAATCCTCTTCTGGTACAATTTTCAATGACTCTTATGAGGCAGATAATTGCTTTTAATTAAAAAGAGATGCTTGATTCTATTTAGGTTTTTCTATCCTTGTGTTTTTCAACAATTTAGTGGATCACAGTTTTTTATGTTTCTAATGACATCTGCTTTGGTTTTTGTTGCTGTATAGGTTGATGCTCATAGTAACCTTGGCAATCTAATGAAGGTGCAAGGGCTGGTGCAAGAAGTAAGTGTCAATAAATAGAAGGTCCAGCATTCTTTTTGCTAGTTCTTTTAGCAATAGTGGTTCGCCAGGAATATGAGTTCTTGGACTAAAAATTTTTGGTACTGATTTTATGCCCTTGGCAACCACCATGCAAAATATCTGGAAATAGGATTGTGGATGGACTGCTTCCTTTTCTAGTTTTGATAAAATAATGGTCCATAAGCAATCTTTTACCCAGTATGAGTGTCTGCTCTCAACTGGATCCTGGCCTTAGGCTCTTGCCCTGCCCAACAAGCATGTGAGAGGAATATATCCTTTCCATATTAATTTCCTTTTTTTTTAAGTCTCTCTTTATCCATGAAGTTACTGATGTAGCAATTCATGTGTTGAACTGTGTGATGAATGTTACAGTTCAATACAGATATCAAGTTGTTATTTACAGGCCAGGGCTCAGATGATGGTTGCTCTTGTTGTAATTCCATCTGCAAAAGACTCGAAAATGTAGGAATCTAATGTTTTGTGCAGGCTTACAGTTGCTACTTAGAGGCTTTGCGGATTCAGCCAACATTTGCCATTGCTTGGTCAAATCTTGCTGGTCTTTTTATGGAGTCTGGTGACTTGAATAGAGCCCTTCAATATTATAAGGTGTGCCTTATCTTATTACCATTGTTCCAGATTTTTTTCCTGCTTAAATTAGGAGTAAGTTCTCTTTTTTTATTTTTTCCTGCTTTAGATAATCCATCAATGGGGTGGGGAATTGAGGAGTTTGTAAACACTTTCTTTATGATGTTGTTTAGCTTGTCTTTTCATTTATACCCTCATCTTGACTCTTCCTTGTGTTCCTCTACTTTTCAGGAAGCTGTTAAACTGAAACCTACATTCCCTGATGCCTATCTAAATCTTGGAAATGTTTACAAGGTAAGCTGTTTTGCCCTGGGCTCATAAGGTTGGGTGGCAAGTAGCTGTTGTTGCTCTTTTGAAAGAAAAGACAAGATCTCTCTTTTACCCATTTCAGGCTCTGGGAATGCCTCAGGAAGCTATCATGTGTTATCAGCGTGCTGTTCAGACTCGTCCAAACAATGCAATAGCTTATGGTGAGTAATACATGTACAGCATTTTCTCCCTGCTATGGATGTTTGGTTCTTCTCTTTTTCAACCATCTTTCATTTACATTTATAAGAGTTTTTCCGCTGCTATAGATGTTTAGTTCTCTTTGTTATCCATCTGCTAATGGAAATTACCATCAGAAGCAAGTCAATGGAGGCAAATAATTTAAGCGTTGCTATTATCATAATCTGTTTCATTCTGCAATTTACAGCTTAGTTATGTGTTTATTATTTTTCCTTCTTTATTATTATTATTATTTTATTATTATCATTTCAGACTAATCATTATCCCCAGGCTGTGTGGTCTTGTGGACTGTTAATGCTATGCATTAAATTGTTTCATTCTCATAGTTCTAGCTGTAGTTGTCTAAGCTGTGCCTAACTGCAGTTTGGGTGCAGGGTCAGGGGTCATTTCATATTCCCTCCTCTAGGCAAGGCAACCTTAAAGAACTGGCCTTAAGTCATGCATTTTTTGGTAGCACAGAGGCACACCTAGGCACCTGTCTTGTATTTAATCACTTTTCAGCAGATTTGTCAACTTTAAGTTTATCCACTTATTCAGATTGCTTAGTTTTCTAACTAATGTACACTGAATTTCAATAAAAAAAAAATGATATGAAGATATATCAGCTTCAGAATGACAAATCCCTATACCTACTGAGGCTGGACTCCTTCAGGTTAATAGTTAATTGGAGACATCAGATAATCACAATACCATCAGGATCAATTCTTCTTCCCTCTCTCCTTGTTTTTCAGTTCATTCCTTGACTTTGAATGATCTTTATCTTCAATTCTGCTTCTTTAATTGTTTGCAAGCTTGTAAACCCTATAAAATGTAATCATATTATGTTATTTGTTTATTTGTTTATTGGTATTATATGCTATGTAATACGTAATATATTTGGATATGCATATTTTGTGTGCGGTGTTCCTTGCTCTAAAAGAGTCTGTGACTTAAGCGTTGTGCCTGGAATTAGGGTCCCTGTTGCCTTTTTGTGTCTTTCGCCTTTGGCAACTAAGTTGGATCTGGTATTGCTTGATCAAATTTGATTGTTTTTCTATGACTGTTGTCTTTTTGTTCAATTCTCAGATTTGGTGAACTTTTCTTCACTTGTTGAATCTGGCTGTCAAATTTATTTGCCCAACTTAGCCATTATGTAAGCATAAGTTCTGTACTTTGGTGCAGGGAATCTGGCTAGTGCATATTATGATCGAGGCCAACTGGACATGGCAATTCTCTATTATAAGCAAGCTGTTGCTTGTGATCCAAGATTTTTAGAAGCATACAATAATTTGGTTGGTTTTTTCTTGTGTCCCATATGTTATTTTGCAAGTATTAATGTTAATTTCTACTCTTGGTTTTCAAGAATTTGGTCACTTTTATATTCACTCCATTTTATATTACAACTGGAAGGGTAATGCATTGAAGGACGTTGGTCGAGTAGAGGAAGCAATTCAATGCTATAATGTAAGCCATTTTCCCCATTATAAGGAACTTTATTTCTCTACCAATTTGTTCTTATGTATTTTCTGAAAATACCTTCAACTCCTTGGTCTAGCAATGCCTTGCATTACAGCCGAACCATCCACAAGCACTTACCAACCTTGGAAATATATATATGGAATGGTACAATTTTTTTTTTTTTTTTTTTTTAAATTCTTTGTCTTAAGGAGTATCTGCATTTCAGCTGATATCAAGCTAAGTGAACAGAATTTATGAGATGTTTTTGAATTCACAGGAATATGGTGGCTGCTGCAGCTTCATACTATAAGGCTACCTTGAGTGTCACAACAGGGCTGTCTGCTCCATTCAACAATCTTGCTGTGATTTATAAGCAACAGGTAGTGGTTAGAGTAATTTTTTTGAGTTCAGAAAGCCAACACTTTCCTCTGGATTTAATTGACCTTTTTTCATTTTTTTACTCAGGGAAACTATGCAGATGCCATATCGTGTTACAATGAAGTTCTACGGATTGATCCCTTGGCGGCTGATGGACTTGTCAATAGAGGCAACACTTACAAGGAGATTGGTAGAGTCAGTGAAGCAATACAAGATTATCTACGTGCCATCAGTATCCGGCCAAATATGGCTGAAGCTCATGCAAATTTGGCTTCAGCTTATAAAGATAGGTAATCTTCTTTGGTTGTCTAATTTCTTTTGTTCATTATCTTGGAATATTGGAGTTAATTAGTGCTTGGGAAGTTGTGTAGATGGGCTTGGTTGGTTTTCTAAGATAAACTGAAGATTCCTGGGGAAGCTTATTCTTTCATTCCTCATACAATAATACAATCATTGTTTTAATGGTCTCTTAGGTGGATATTGTTGGCATCTTTTGAGATGTTAAGAAGCAATATTTGTGGTTAAATATAAATGTCAATTCTTTGATCCTACATAATTTTATAGTTGATCTGTTTGGATGTTGTGTATATTTAATGTTTGTGTGTAGCTGTTCGCTTTTTCATTTTATGTTTGTAAAGTCTGGGATTTATGTTTTACAGTGGGCATGTTGAGGCGGCCATTAAAAGCTATAAGCAGGCACTGGTCCTTCGACCTGAGTTTCCTGAAGCTACTTGTAACCTTCTACACACATTGCAGGTATCATCTGATGGCTTTGATTCATAAAGTAATCTAAGAGTAATTAGGAGGGTGGAGTCATCTTTTCTTCTTCCTTTCTCTTGTTTTCCCTCTTATCTCTCTAGAAAGTCGAATGTGGCAATGTTGTAAATTCTTTGGGGTTCAAGGGAATTTTAGTTGATTGAAATTATGGTCTTTTAGTAATTTCATGTAAATTTGTAGGGCTTTATGTTTTTAAGTAGTGCAGACCACTAAAAGGCAAAATACATAGAAATTGATGAGTTTAAATTAATGATTAAACCTCAAACTTATACGATTGTAACTTTTAAGTCCTTGAATTGAAAATTGAGTAATTAAAAATCTGAGCAAGTAGGCTTAAATTTTAGGATGGCATTGTGATGATTAAAATTTGAAATTCATGGTGCCCTAATAGGTTGGTGTTTTTATATTTTAATTTGAGATTGTTCACTTTAATTTACCTTTAAATTCTGCAAGATCTTGACCATATCCTATATTATGGAAAATTGGGTATATAAAATTATAGGTGAACTTGAATTTAAAAATGCACAATGCATGGTAAAAATTAGGTTAAAAAAAAAAAGAAACAAGAATGAAGTGAACTTAGGTAGTTATGAATATATTCAAGAGTTGCTTTCACATTAACAAAAGCCAATCAAGACTCATTTTGTGTAAAGTACAAGGGAATTTGATCGGAACAAGTGAAATTTTGTATAAGTTGCTATAATATAGGAACATAATACGCCCCACATTTTTTCTTTTAAAAAGTCTATACATTACAAATACCCCATGTAGTAGGGTGGAAAATGCTATTTATGGAATAAATTAAGCTGTCATACTTTGTTTTTCTTGGCTTGTTTTATGCTTGTCCATATGCTCACTTTTTAATGGTATAATTTTGGATTTAAGAGCAATTTTCAGTTGAATTAGATAGGTATTGATGTTTCCTTATATTGTTTATTTTGTGAAGGGGTTCCTTAGTATCTTTTTTTATTATATTTTATACAACATGATGCTCCATTCCTGAATATTTCATTAAGACATAACCCAACCCAGTGGAACTAAATCTCATGTCTTAACCAATGTATCATGTTGCTGTTACACTCTTAGGGTATCATCTTAATTGTTATTGCTCCAAGTCATTGACTCTCATGTAGGGAAAGAAAAAATCTTTGTAGGTAAAACTCACTCTCTTCTGCTTTTCTTGTGCCAGTGTGTCTGTTGCTGGGAGGATCGTGATAAAATGTTTGCTGAAGTTGAAGCAATCATCAAGAGGCAGATAAATGTAAATATTATATCTTTATGCTAATCAAATTTTAATGCCTGTATGCTTTTGTAATTTTTAATTTTTTCTTTATTATTTTTAGTACATCAAATACTGTATTTGTCACCCTGCATCAATGATCTAACTGCAACATATTTACGCTTTCAGATTTCTGTTCTTCCCAGCGTGCAGCCTTTCCATGCTATAGCATATCCCCTTGATCCAATGCTTGCACTTGAAATTAGGTATTAAATATTAATATTTTTCTTTGTCCATAGATTGTAAGTACTTAAATTAGCTAAGCTCCTCATTTACATGTTGTCTCCCTCTCTTCCTTTTGCAGCCGTAAGTATGCAGCTCATTGCTCCTTGATTGCATCTCGTTTTGCTCTTCCACCTTTCAACCATCCTGCTCGTATTCCTATTAAGTGTAATGGTGGAAGTGAGAGGTTAAAGGTTGGTTATGTGAGCAGTGACTTTGGTAATCACCCGCTATCGCATCTTATGGGATCAGTATTTGGCATGCATAACAGAGCCAATGTTGAGGTGTTGTAAATTTTGATCTTGATTTAATTCGATCTAGATTGCTGGCTTCTTATGTATTCTGCTAGTAGATGTAGCACTAATAAGGCTTCTGCAGGTGTTTTGTTATGCCTTGAGTCCTAATGATGGTACTGAATGGAGACAAAGGATCCATACAGAAGCTGAGCATTTTATAGATGTTTCTGGCATGTCATCTGATGCAATAGCCAAAATGATTAATGAGGATGGAATACAGATCCTTATCAACCTTAATGGTTATACAAAGGTAGATTTTGTTTAGTTTTCTGTTTGACCCCCATGCCTTGCAGGTTGTTAAACAACATTGCTCTCTGATAATGTAGAGAATTCGAGAAATTTTTGGTATTGCTGTGAGGAAGTCTGTACTTCTACTTAAGTTCTAATTGTTACCATCTATAAATTAAACTTATCACATGATATCTTATCTCATGGTGATGGTACAGGGAGCAAGGAATGAAATTTTTGCTATGCAGCCTGCACCCATACAAGTTTCTTACATGGGATTTCCTGGTACTACTGGAGCAACTTACATAGATTACTTGGTCACTGATGAGGTAGAATTTGGGGTTTCTTACATTGACTTGTAATTATTCTTTGAATCTGTCTAAAATGGTATCTCTTGCTTTCAGTTTGTTTCACCTCTACACTATGCTCATATTTATTCTGAAAAGATTGTCCATCTTCCACATTGCTACTTTGTGAATGATTATAAACAGGTATGTAATTTTTAAAAAATTAAATAAATGGAACTTACTTATAAGCAGTAATGCTGCGTCATTTAAACTTCATGCATGTTTAAACCTGGTTCTATAATCAGTAATATCTTTTGCAGAAAAATCGTGATGTCCTGGATCCCCATTGTCAGCAAAAACGCTCAGATTATGGCCTTCCCGAAGACAAATTTATATTCGCATGCTTTAACCAGCTATACAAAATGGATCCTGAAATCTTCGACACTTGGTAATGGCATGATCCTGAGTTGAAATATTTTTTTCTAGCTTTCATGATTTGTCATCTGACTTTTATGTTATACCATTCCAGGTGTAATATTCTTAAACGAGTACCAAATAGCACCCTTTGGCTCCTTAGATTCCCAGCTGCAGGAGAAATAAGACTTCGTGCATGTAGGTCCATTGTTTCATGTTTCTTTAACAGAATCACTTAACAGATTTTAAATTGCCGATCAAACAGAACAAAAAAAAAAAGGGGAAGATTTTAAGTTAGTTTTCCTGAGGCAAACTTTAATTGCCTTTATTTCTGTGCTTTGCACTTGTTTTTTTAGAATATAAATTATATTCTGTTCACCTTGGGGTTCTTCATGATTGTTGGTCTTTGTTTCAGATGCTATTTCACAAGGTGTGCTGCCAGACCAAATTATTTTCACAGATGTTGCCATGAAGCATGAGCATATCAGACGCAGTGCTTTAGCAGATTTGTTCCTTGACACGTAATTGTTCTTAACTCTCTCTTGACCCCCTTTTCTTTTTCAATCAGCATCCTTAGACCCTGTATGGAAATGATATAATTTGTTGTTCAGTTCTTTTTCACCCCTTCTGACTTTTGAGTTTTTCATTTTAGGCCCTTATGCAATGCACATACCACGGGCACCGATATTTTATGGGCTGGGTTACCTATGGTGACACTGCCCCTTGAAAAAATGGCTACAAGGGTAGCTGGATCACTTTGTCTTGCTACTGGTCTCGGTGATGAGATGATTGTAAACAGGTATGCATTTGTTTGTGGCCATCCCAGGTATGCATTTGTTTGTGGCCATCCCAGGTATGCATTTGTTTGTGGCCATCCCAGGTATGCATTTGTTTGTGGCCATCCCAGGTCTGCATTTTGATTTGTTTATACTTGGCAGAGTGTTGCTGGACATGGAATGTGCATTTTTTTCATTTGTTAGTTTTGAGTAGACCATTGCACCTTTTTGTTTTTGTGTGTCTTGATGATGCATGGGTCTCATGTACTAAAGATCCTGAATCTCTTCTCAAAGTACATGCTCAAGCTGATCTTTTGATTTTACTTTTGACAGTTTGCTGTTTGATCACTTGGCTTCTTCTATTGGTTCATTTGATTAATAATCTTGGCAAGCTTTGTTTGCATGCTTGTGGTTTTTTTTTTTTTGATAAAAAAGATTTACATTTAGGCATTTCTCTTTTGCCTTCATGTACAGTATCAAAGAATATGAAGAGAGAGCAGTGTCCTTGGCATTAAATCGGCCAAAGCTCCATGCTCTGACTAATAAACTGAAGTCAGTTCGTATGACCTGCCCTCTGTTTGACACACTGCGCTGGGTGAGCTGAAATAAGTACTTGTGTTCAAATTGTTTCTGCTCTTCCTATTTTGACCACATGCTTAAAACTTTGCCTTGGAGTTTTTTGCAGGTGAGGAATCTTGAGAGGGCATACCTCAAAATGTGGAATCTTTACTGCTCGGGCCAACAGCCGCAGCATTTTAAAGTAACTGAGAATGATTTGGAATTCCCTTATGATAAATAGGGGCATAGAGCCAGAAACGGGATTGTAAATAAGAAAACAAGAGATACAAATATTACATTTAGGAAGAGATTCATCTATTGAGGTGTGTTGGTGTTATATTGCAAAATTGGATAGATCAATGCTTACTTAGTCTGATTAGAAGTTGGTGAAAGGGGTCTGTAGGAGAAACGAGATCCAAATTATGAGCCAGTTTCTTGGGGTATGTTATTTCAATAGTCTCCTTTTTCTCATCTTGTTGATTTTAACATGAGTGTACTTTTGACGCCATCTGACCTGAGGTTAAAACAAGTGAATTTTCGGAGGGGTATGCCTATTGCTGATACTCAAATGTTGATTTCATAAGCAAGCATTCTTACTCAATTTTCTTGTCAGTTGCACTCTCCCTTATTCTCTCTCTGGCATTCTTACTGTTTCCTAAAAAATTCCTAATTGGCTCCAGCCACATGGCTTTGGGTGTAGTGTGTGTCGTTTGCTTTCTTTAAAATAAGAAATTTAGATTTTTTATACAACCATTTTTCTTTCTTTCAAAGGATGGTTGGAAAAAACGTTCGAGAACTAAATTGTCTCAGTTGACGTTGCAAAATGGTAGGTGGAGTTTTACAAAATAAGTTAAATTGCCTTGGATACTTCTTAAGGATTTTAAAACTACGGTGGTGTAATAAAAGCTACAAATTTAAAATTAAATATAATATCGTAAAGTGTTATACCAATGGCAAGTGAAATGACATGTTATTAGGCTTTGCTCAGAACAAGAAATTTGTCTTTAATGACCCTCTTCTCTTTTCAAGGGTGGCACTTGATTGTAAGTTGATGTAAGAATGTTCGAGCGTGGAATTCGATTGAGTTGGTGGAAGAAGTTATAAATTGTCTTCATCAGTGTTTTGAAAATCGATTTGCAAGTTAAATCGTTTTGTTTTTGGGTTTTTGGTTTGATCGGTTTAATTGGTTAAATTGTTTAAATCATTGATTTAATTACACATGAATAAATATAATATGCTATAATGATCTAACAAGGCAGGTGGAGTGATTCTATTGGTTTGTCATTTCGCCCATTGTGAAGGAAACGTGTGTTCGAGTATGGTGGGTGTCAAAATGTTATTATCATATTTTTAAACCTTTCAAAATGTAAAATACACGTAATTTTTTTAATTAATTTATATAAAAAATTATAAAGATTAATTTTAAATTAATTAATTAATCAATTATAAAAACATGTAAAAATTTACATTATTATATTTTTAATTTATAATATATTAATAATTTTTTTATACATGTTAAGGATGAAATAAATATATTTTTAATAAAAAAATACATATTAACTCTAATTCTTTAAAAAATAAAGTGTTACTTTTAAACTATATTGTTTCATTTAATTAAAATTTAATTTAAAATTTAAAAATATATTCTATTAAATATTGAAATTTAGATTTAAAATTAATTGAATTTTTAAATTTTAAATTAAGATTTTAATTTCTAAATATAAATTGGAACTTTAATTTTTTTAGAAGTTGAGATTAATATGTATTATTCTTTTAATTAATTGCTATAAAAGTTGACTTTAAATTAATTATTAATTAATTAAAATCATTTTACATGTTAATAATATTAAAATAAACATCAATTTTTATTTTTTATATAAATTAATTACAAAAAATTATATTTATTTCACTTTTAATTTATATATTTAAGATAAAAATTAGATTAACATCATATTAATTTTATTGTGAAAGTTAATTATAGAAGGGAAGGGATTCGATATTCTTTTCTTCTTAAAAATAAAATAAATAAAATTTTAAGCCACTCCTTTCATTAAGAGAGGAGTCGTCCCAGTGGTAAAAGTGATGGAAAATCCCCTTTAATTGTTGTGTTCAAACTTAGGAGGTGACAACTTTAAGGGAAATTTTTCAAAAGATTTAAACCATTTGGTTGAATGGTTTAACGGTTTGTATCGGTCTAAATGGTTTAATTGATTTTGAATGATTCAACCAATTTAATTGATTTTGAATGGTTCAACCACTTTACTAGTTCTAAACCTTGATCCGAGCTGTGTATTGTATTGAGTATCGGTCTGACTAGTTCAATCGATCGGTCCAATCTGGTTTTTAAAATATTGGTCTTAATAATCAGATGATTGGTAAGAATGAGAAATGAACTTCTTGTATTAAATGGATTATACGACAAAATGCCTTGGATGTGACTCCAAGGATTCTTCCAAACTAATGTAATTGAAAAAAAGCTAAGACTACAATAAAAGCAAATGATTGTTAAACTACTAAAATTTTAAATTGAATTTTAAATATGTAAATGCATAAAAATAAATTGAATTAAAATAAATGAAACTGGAAACATAAAAAATATATTGGCAGCATGAAATATAAATTAATAGAAATGGAAAAAAACATGAAATTAAATATTGACATCATTTAATTAAATTAAAAGAAACTAAGAAAACAATAAAGGAAAGGAAGCAATCTGATTATAAAGAAAAGGAAGCAATCTGATTATAAAGAAATATTGCTGAAGGCAACGAATCTTACTATTTCAAAACTAGCAAAAGGGGAACTGAATTTGCTTTCTTAGAGAATTGTAACTAATTTTTGAGATTTCTAAAGGAAAAGACATTAAACTTTTTTTTTTTTTATCAACAGAAAAAACATTAAACTAAAGTTAAAGACTAATTTAGGTTGAAGTATAAAGCTAAAACTAAACTAAAGGGCTTGAAACTAAGATGAATATGAGCATTAAAAGAAATTGTGCTCAGCTTGTTGTGTGAGAGGCAGGTCCATCTTGCTTGATTTCTTCTCTACGTATTCATAGCAGTAAGCACCCCTTAGCAGCATGCTGAAGATCTGCAACATCTTGAAAACTTGTCACGCCCCAAAACCCACATTCGAGGTGCGACAGACGCCGTGCACTCTTGAGACGGGTCCCACAAATGCACAAGGCTCGGAACTTTCAAATTCACACTCTGATATCATCAAAATCTGAAGATCAAATTATAAGATATTCTCTCATATCATAAATCTCCAAATACACTCTGGTTTACAAGATCATGATTTATCTAAAGCTATGCTCAATTTACAAGTGGCTAGCCTTCTAACTCGTCACTTCCCGTGGTTTCCCCGTCCTCGGTTTCACTTTCTGAAGTGGTGGACAAGGAAAACTATGAGATAAACTCAGTAAGTAAATATGGAGTGCCCCTTATCAAACTTAAAGCATGCCAACAAGTACAATCACGAAAAACGGATACAGTACGGGCACGAAATAGACGTCTCCTCTATAGGTCACGGCCAGTGTTATAAACCTCCCACTGGCAGGCTACAGAAATTACTAGTGTTTAACCCCCACTAGTAGGGTTACAGAAACGAACCAGTTCTATCAGAAACATGTCGACATGTGCTAGCGTTTAACTCCCACTAGCAGGATTACAGAAACATGACCACATCGGAGACAAAACAAGCTGAAGTTAACAGAAAAACATAATTCACCAATCACTTTCAGATCATTAGGACAGTCACTTAAATTTCGAGTAGGCATGCTCAATTTAGTGAAAAGCATAAAACATTTCACTTCAAATCAGTCATACTTGACAGTACAGGCATTACCATAAATTTACTTACCTCACTCGCATAAAACCGAGCACTCAATCCACGTACTAAACTGACAGAACGATCGGGAACCTAATCAAATATTCAAGGATCAATACCGTATTATCACAATTTCAAAGTGAAATCATCATTAAGATCATGATGCTATTCCTATCAATCTCCACATTATCAGATATCTCCAAATTCATTCTTATATCACAAACTAATCACTTAAATCCCCATTAATTATTGGCCCTCGGGGTGTGAACAGTACCATGTGAACAGTTCCCTGAACAGTAACCACGACGTGAACAGTAACTGCACTTCCAAAAATTGGCCAACACACTAGCTAATCTCACGGGATTTTCTCCAAAAATCACAGCAACTAATCAAGCTAATTTACACTTAAACCCAGCTTAAAAACATAGCTTAAGCTATCAAAATTCATCCCCAATTTCTGCAAACTTTCGGACATCACAGGGGCAGCCAATCCATGGACAAAATTCAA